AATGTGCTCTTTCCCCTGCAATACCTGCTGATGGAGCTCTCTTTTACTCAGTTCGGTTGTGAGGAAACAATAACCTACAGAGAGGACATTTCTTCTATTCATATATGAATATTTGATATCTTAGACAATAGATTATGAACAGGATAAATGTGTTGTCCTGATTATTAAAGTCTTATTTTATGAACTTGTAATACTGACCCAAGTTGCTTGTTTTACTGCCAATCTTAGACTTTTAGCATATTTTGACATTGTATTAAGTGTATGTTGGGTAATCAGGAAGTACTAGAGCTGGTCTATGTTTTAATGATTGGGGCTACGAGAACAGAGGTCTCCTCTTTGGGGTGCAAACATGAACTAGACTGCGGTTCTGGACCACAAATGTAAACAAAATTGAGCAAAACCATCAGATGTTGGATACAAACTAGTTAAAGGAGCCCTGGGGAGTTTTTTTTTATAAACAAACAAAAGGTATGTTAACATCCAGTGTTTCTCCTCGAGGTCAAACAAACCGATGAAGAACGCATTTCCTTCCTCGTCTCAATCGTTTGAAACCTGCGTTGTTTAGATGTATGTTGACTAGCAAGCACTCTTGCATTTCGATGCATTTCTGCATATCTTTGTGCTTTAACGCCACCTTTGTATCCGTGGAATAGTGCGATACCACTGTCAGTGAAGGGTATCGCCTAACCGCCGGCAGCGGGACAAACAAAACAAGGATCCCCTCACAGAAAAGACCGTCCTCTGTGAAGCAAACATCTTCAAACAACACGTGTTTATGTCCCACGCTGAAGCAGGAAGTAGTGAGGTGTTATAGTGAAGACTCTAAAACAAGAGGATGGCATCAACTGTGTTTCCTACCAAACACAATGCCGGTTTATTTTACCCATGATGCATATTTTTCCCTCAACTTAACTGAGTAGATATTGATGCCTAAACATCACCAGGCCTGAACCAAAGAGGCAGCAGATATCAAAGATGTCTCTTTAAGACAGAAAAACAGTGGAAACTACAACAACAATGTTCATATTAACGTTTTCATGGAGGCGTTCCCCTCCTGTCTTTGATGTCCCCACTAGAATAGCTGTGTGTTCTCCTTCAGTTCTTCAATGCACTGGTCCAAACAATGCTGCCACTGTGTCCCTGATCAAGGTCACATCAAATCCATCCATAAAAACAACTGTTTTATGTCTTCATCTCTGTGGCTGAGTGCCGAGTGATGTGGTTCTCTCTGCACTACAAGAGACACCAGTCAGAGAAGGACTCTGACGTCATCTTCTGTTCGTTTCTGTAGGTGGCTATTGCTAATTGTGCGAACTGTCCAGTTACTGTTCTTCTATTCTTGTCCCAACAAGCTGGAAACGTGAAACACAACAAGATGGAATCACATGGTTGAGTTGTAGCAGCAACAGCGACAACACTGCGACCTCATACAACAGTCAGATGTTTTGCAACCTGCATTGTTTTGTTTGTTTTGCGCCGCACTTTTATTGCTCCGTCTCCCCCGTGTTGGGTCCTGATTTATAAGAAGAAGCTGAAGCGTTACCGCTGATTCAGTCTTGCCATCGCTCGCAGCGTCTGGAGGACACGTATACAAAAAAAAAAGAGAATATCAACCGGAGTGAGATAACGTGCCCGGCACACGGCTAGCTTAATGTGCTTTGATCTACTTCTGACAGCGCAATAATGGAGAGAGGGAAGGAGAGACAGGAGAGATAAGATGAGAGGAGAGACACAAAACCACTTATGAAACCAAAAAAAAAACACATTTCTGTTGGCTCTTCACACCACGAACCCCCTCAACTCCCTCCCCGTCCTTATCGCTCCTCATCAGCCACCTCCGTCCGTCCGCCCGCCCGTCCACCTCAATGACACTCAAAGGTCAGACGTTCCCTCCCTTTGTTTGTTTTCCCCCAGCAGCCTCCATTTGTCCTCATAAAGGAGCTGATGTGCCTTTGATGGAGCGTTTAAGAGATGCGGGGAGGTGATCTGGTACAATGAAGTGTGTGCGTGTGTGCGTGTGTGTGTGTGTGTGTGAGTGTGTGTGTGAGTGTGTGTGTGTGTGTGTGTGCATGCATGTGAAGGCAGGAAGCATCAGCTGCATGATATGAGACACACACACACACACTGGAGGAGTGACCATGCGTTCCTTGACACAGACTGCAGAGCAGTTTGAAGTGTGTCTCTTGGGTCTTTGTGTCTGTAGTGAAGAAGCTTCTGTAGGAGATTTAAAGCTGTGTGTGTGTGTGTGTGTGTGTGTGTGTGTGTGTGTGTGTGTGTGTGTGAGAGAGTGCTTCCATCTTTGTGAGGACCAGTTTTAGACCTTGAGAGTGAGGACATTGTTGGAAAGTGAGACATTTTGTTCTGGTCGTCACTTGTCTAATGTCTTGGGGTTAATGTCGAACAAAAAATTGAAATCTTTTTTTATATGAAGGAATATAAACTAAAGTGATGCTGTCGCTGTACTTTTTACAATTTAATTATAGCATAGAACAGCTTTTGTACATATACAGTGTCTCAGCTTCTGAGCCACAGCTGGTTAACTGACGTGTCAGAGCCGGCGTCGCTGTAGAAGAGTCTACAGTCTTCTGACCACTCAAAGTGCTTTAACACCACATGTCACCCATTCACACCCATTCATACACTGAATGGAAGGGGCTACCATGCAGGGTGCCAGCTGCCCATCAGGACTAACTAACATTCATACACCATCGGCACAGCCTACGGAAGTAATTTGGGGTTCAGTGTCTTGCCAAAGGACACATCGACATGTGCTAGCGGGGCCGGGGATCGAACCACCGATCCCACTAGACTAGTTACTTCATGTTATTTCAACCATAGACTACGTTAACGTAGTCATCGTGACATCACCCATTAGTTTGTGGACTGACGTTTTGAAGCCAGGAGTTCAGCATTTTGGTTGTCGCCATCTTGGTTTTTGGTTGTCGCCATCTTGGTTTTTGGTTATCGCCATCTTGGTTTTTCTTTGCAACCAGAAATGACACGAGAAGGCGGAGCTAAGTACAACCCAACGAGCTGAATAAGACTTTTTGGGGGCGACTAAAATGTAATGATTAAATTCCATGAAGTGAAAACACAGTGAAAAGGTTAACGTTGTAGAAAGAAAAAACAGACAACTCCCAGACTGGACAACGCTGTGGTAGCGACCTGTCAATCACAGTAAGCAATAAGTGTGGTCTGTGTGACTCTAAATGGACCATAATGTACTAAATGAACATCATGCTGTATTGAAGAAGACTTGAAACTAGAGATTGAGACCATAAACTCATGTTTACAATGTTTACTGAGGTAATAAATCAAGAGAGAAGTAGAGTCATTTTCTCATAGACTTCTATACAACCAGAGGAGTCGCCCCCTGATGGACAGTAGAGAGAATGCAGCTTTAACACATGAAGCATTGGCTTCACTTTTCAGACCCAGATGCTGCCTCCTGCTGTGTAGGCTATAGCCTATACGAGTTGTTGATACAATATGCTTTTCTTCCTGTAGCATTAGTTATACCGTTAGTAATTTAAGACCAGTTAGCCGAGCTTGCTAACGTTAGCACTGATTCCCACAAGACTTTTCATTCACGTTCACGTGCAGCTCCCACACACTCAGCGCTGTGTTTGTCCCAGATTGGTAAATGGACTGCATTTATATTTAGTGCTTCTATCCAAAGAGCTTTACTATTTCCATCTCATTCACGCCGAAGGCAGCGAGCTACCGAGGCGCCGGCCAAACCTTTGGGAACACTTTGGGGTTCAGGGTCTCGATCAAGGACACTTCTGCATGTGGAGACGCTGGTCTGAGTGGAACTAAAGTGATATTACCAACTATTTCGAAGCCCACACACACTGATATTGCATGAATCAAATCACTAGTAATCGAGTTCCTCTACTGAAGGGGACGCGTCACTGCAGGAAGACAAATAACACCGACATGTCTTATTTTTGGTAATTATGTCAAAACAAACAGGGAAGTGTATTCAGATTCCTTTTAAAATAGTTTAAGTTCAACGCATGCAATGCCAACGGAAGGTCCTCACAAGTAGCTACCTATAGCATGGAGTCGTGTGTGTGTGTGTGTGTGTCGGGGGGCTACCGGCACCGTTGACTTTGCAGAATCGACCTACATGTGCAGAGCGTTCAGACTCACACCTGAGTTTACCGGGCTCGGTTCTGACTCATCCTGCAGGAGTCATGCTCCGCGAGCTCTCTGTGTGTGTGTGTGTGTGTGTGTGTGTGTGTGTGTGTGTGTGCCTGCGTCTTCAATTTATTACGTCGCTGCATGACGCACAGTAGCGCGAGACAGGAGAGAGAGGTGAGGGGAGGATATAAAGGAGGAGGGAGGAGGGGGTAATTTTCTCAGACACCCAGCCGGCAATGACCTTAGTTTTATGTCAAGGCGGAGGTCTCTCTCTCTCTCTCTCTCTCTCTCTCTCTCTCTCTCTCTCTCTCT